GGGGAGGATCACCTCCTTGGCCCTGCTTGTGATGCATCTGTGGATGCAGGACAAGGTATGGTTAGCCCTATTGACTGTGTTCTAAAGCATTGTCGACCCATGTTCATCTTGGAGTCAATAATTGCCCTATTAGACTTAAGGGTGGCAGTGTCTCTTGCATTAGACTTGGCATAACTGGCGTTATAGGTTCTTTGGAAACCTAGGAATTGCCAGAATGAATCAAATGTAAAGGCCCTTTAGTCCCATATCCTGTTATCAGATGGCATACAGCACCCCAGAGTTCACAAGGAAGTGTAAGAGCTCCATGGAAGACAGATATAGGATATTCTGTCCTCTACATATTTCATAACTTTGTTTAGAGATTAGTTTAATGTCTGAATGTGAAGTTTACCATCTCTTTGAAAAAATATGAATGTACAAAATGTTATAGCCTTGGACATTCATTGCTGTCCATTTAGACCAGGGACAGACCTTCAAAAAGCCTGAGCCTAAATTGATTCAATCTTTGCAGGTTAGTCTAATCTGCCTAGGCTGAATGAATTTATTACACAGACATGTAGGCACATTGCCTGCAGTTGCTCAGGCCAGGAGTTGGGGGGTGTTAGAGGATGCCCCTGAATGCAGGGAAACTGTGTTGTGGGAGGGTGTGGCCAGCTCAGGCAGTAGCCTTGGCTTAATTCCCACCTCCTTGCCCCACCAGCAGAGACCTGAGCTGGGTCTGCCAGGCGCTCCCCACTTGCTGCTGCAGTGGTGGAGCCAGGCATGGTTAGACACCGGCCAGCATGGCCCCTGAGGCAGAGGGGGATTATTCCTCCCTCTACCTTCCCTGCCCCGGGAGGACCACAGCCGGGTCTGCCCACGACTGCCCGCTCCCTGTTTGAGGCAAGCGGTGGACTAAGCCCTCTGCTGAACACCAGAGGGAGGGAGAATAATCCCCCTCCGTGTCCCCTGCTGGCCGACATTGGGCTGCACCCCTGCCAGGCTGTTGCAGCAGCGAGGGGGCAGGGCTCTTGATGGGGGCAGCCGCCCCTGTTACAGTGTCGGGGAGCGCAAGCCCCTTGCCAGTGGGGGCCATACTGTGGAGTGGGCAGAGCTGTGGCAGACAGTGCGTGGCAGCACTGGAGCTTGGAGGAGGCCAGAGCCCCACCAGCGCTGCTTCTGTCTGTGGCAGTTTTCCCCACCCAGCAGTGTGCCTCTCCCCTCCCCCCCACTGGGAAGGGGCTCACGCTTCCTGACATCATGGCAGGGGCTGCTGCCCCTGTCAAGAGCCCTGCCCCATTGCCACTGCAGCGGCCTGGCAGGGACGCAGCCAGACGCCGGGTGGGAGGGCCCCTTAAGCAGTGGACATTAAGGGAGGTTATTCGCCCTTCCCATCTCCTGGCATCCTGTGGAGGGGGCAGGAGATGGCTTATTCTGCTGCTTGGCCCAAGCAGGGAGCAAGCAGTGGCGGTAATTGTGGCAGGCAGACCTGGCTGCAGTCCCCCGGCGTAGAGGGAGGAATAATGCCCCTCCCTGCCTCTGCCTCAGGGGCCATGTCAGCCAGTGTCTAGCTGTGCTTATCCCTGCTGCTGCAGCAGCAACGGGGGAGCACCTGGCAGACCCAAGGAGGAGGAAATTAAACTCCTCTCTGACCAATTCAGCCAAGGCTACTGCCTGGGCTGGCCATACTTCTGCTGCTGGAGCAGCCAGCATGGAGAAGTGCAGGTCTGTACTAGTAGGACAGGGGAGGGAAGGGAGGAATAAACTTTTTCCCTGCTCCCTTCCAGGGCCAGTGTCTGGCTAGACCCTCGCATCCCTGCCTGTCCCTGCTCTTGGTGGGGAGCAGAGGGGTGAGGCCAGCCCCGCTTGGCTGGAGCAGAGAGCATGATGGGATGCTCAGGACTCTGGTTTAACTTAAACCAGCAAGGGGTCTGGGACAGACATTGCATAAACTGATTTGAGCTCAATCAGTTAAGTCTGGTACTACATTCAACCAGGTTTCTCTCAAATTAGTTTTGGCCATTTTGAAACTGGTTTACGTGCACTGAATGTCTGTTCTGTTACAGGTTTAAACCAGTTTCTGATCACTTAAACTGGTTTATATATAATGTCTGTCCCTAGCCTTCATGTCCAGTCCTTTCCTGAATCTTGTGAAGTTTCTGGCCTTTTTAAGGTTTCAGTTCTGAGCAAGGGGTTTATTAGAAATTTTCATAACAGATTCCTTATCCTAGTAATTTGGATCATGGGCCATATTCCCTACAACTATGCTCATCTTCAAAGCTCTGCTAAATTCTGGTCTGTTTCATAATTGTGTGTGTGTGTGTGTGTGTGTGTGTGTGTGTGTGTGTGTGTGTGTGTGTGTGTGTGTGTGTGTGTGAATAAAAGTTCAAGCTATATTTTTCCATATTGATGATTCATGGCTGAATAAATATGTAAATATTTTGAACAACTGAAGCAGCACCAGTTACCTTCCTAATGATGGCTTTTTTTATTTTGGCCTTCATGATAAACTTGAAACAAAAGAAAAGTAACAGAAAAACACTTAATTACCCAAGGGCATTTGTTCAAGTGAGACAACATCACACTCAGTCTTGCACATGGAAGCCATGTATGTGTTGAATAGCAATGGCTTCAGGCCTGTGCCTCAAGTTAAGTGCACACTTAACATGCTGAGGTAAATCAAAGCATAACTCTGGAGAAGTGTCTGCACAATGGGCAGCCACCATTGAATTAGGACAACAGTTATATTAAATGACCCACTACTACTGCAAAACATACTCTTGGTGAACACCTATGGTGCATTAAATATTTTGCTGTTTTGGGGCCAGAAGGCTTATGTCACTTGGAGAAGATGGCCACTGGACCGCGGGTTGATACATCATTAGCAGCTGGTATATGCTTCCTGGGCTTAACATAGTGCAACAGGAACAGAAAAGAGAAACTTGAAATTGCAAGCTGTATCTGTGAGCCATCCTCCTAGTTTGCCTTGCAGGAAACTGTGCTATCTAAAAAAGAAAGAAAGAAAAGAGCCCCACACTACTTTGCTGTCAGCCATAGAAGCATGTGATGTTTTAGAGATGAATGCAGGATCTTGTAGCTCTGCCTGTCCTACTGCTCTGCCCTAGTCTGTCTAGTCTGGTGGCAGGGAAGGTCTCCCTGCCTGAGGAACCTAGAACAAGCATGCAAGGGAAAACCCTTCATTATAGGTTATGACGTACTCTGTTAATAGTGCGTGTCTAACATAAAACATTATGACATACTTTAGCTGAGAATGGCCATCTTTGGTGCTGCTACTGCTTCAGTTCTTTAAAGGCTGGATCCAAAATCCACTGAAGCCAGCAGGGATCTTTTTGCAAACTTCAGTGTTTGTTGTATCAGACCTTAATCTCATCAGCCATTGGCTTCTGGAATAGCCATCTTATTAAATATTAGTTGGCTGTTAGTTGATGTATCTGTGTGTGTGTTGTATAGGCACTCCTGGAGTCTTAATGCTGAACAAATAGTTAAGCTAATTTTTAAAGAATGACTAAAATACTGAATCAATCCTTTTTTTAAAGTTGCCATTCTAAAACATGACTATTTTTCCTTTTTAATATGTTAACCTGCAACACTGAGGAAGAGAGAGAGCTGTAGAAATGTGTTCCTTTTCATAAAGCTAATATAAAACATTTGCCTTTTTGTAAAATCCCATTGAGAAAATACCCAATACAAATATTCTCCTCCATGTATTTATGCATGTCTGTTTATCTGTGGGTCACAATGAGCCATGGAATCTCTATCCAGTGGCTTTAAAATTGCCTTTGTTTAGTTGGCAGTTACTTTGAGCTTTTTTGTTTTAGAAACAAGCTCTCTCAATTGATCCATATAGTGTAGTTAAAAGTTATGTCAGGTTCTCTGGCTTACCAATATAAGATGGCTGGGCATTTGCCAATGATTTCTCCTTGGTCAGTAAAACTTGCTGCAAGGTTGAAGCTGTAACAGAGATGTAGTGAAGTTGTGGGGTTGGGGAGGGGAAATACCCAAGCAAAACAAACTGGAAACATATGAGACGACAGATATGTATAGATTTAACGTGACTGAGCCAGGTTAAATTGGACATGATTCATTATCACAGGACTTTCTTATTCTAGCATGCCCCAAGTGAAAAAGCAGAACAGGCAAAACCAAAGTGAAAAATTCCCTGTGTTTTGCAGCTCTTACTCTGTCACCCCCAGTGTTGCAGGTTGGTTTTGTGTGAACAAAATCCCTGGGTGAATTTCCTATTTGCCTCTGTGTACGTGTTATTTATGGCAGACACTGTACCGGGTCAGCAGCTCTAGAACTGGAGGCCCTGGACACTATGCTGGGCTTCAGTGGAAAGAGAGATCTGCTTAATTTTGTCCCAGGTGAAGGAGTCCGGCGGTTCCTAGCCTGGACTACTGGAAGGTTCCCACATCCTCTTTGTCACATTAGTTGAGATGACTTGCAGTAAAAATTGTCCAGTGAGTGTTAAGAACCTATTGAAAGATCTTAGTTTTATAGTGATATTGTTAGGAAAAAAAATGAAAAAAGTTTTTATTTTTAAATGTTAAAGCCAAATATTTGAAGATGCAATAGCATCTTATCTTGCTAAATAAATCTGAAGCAAGAATAGTAAAGCAGTAGGAATTTGATGTATTCATTTCTAAATTTTGGAACTGTGCCAGTCACTCAAATAACATGAAGCATCTTTTATACAGTAAGGGCCACATTACTCCTCCTTCCAAACTGATTACCGCCTTGCTTCATGAGTGGTTTATTAGATCCAAATCAACCCCAGGGAGGGGAGCATAAACCACACATTTTTCTAAATGATGATGTTCAGCTTTTTTTTGTGGCTGCCAGCATTTGTAAAGGGAGCCTATTGCTATCGTAGCTACTTCATTCCATACAGCTTGTATAGCTGGCTTCTCAGGGCCATCCATGGAATTGGTGATGGCAGCTGCTTTGACTTAAAATATTTGGGTCATGTGTTATTGCACTTTAAAAATTCAAGTCTGCCTTCATCTTTAAAAAGTTATAGGGGAATTTGGAAATTATTCATCCCGCTTTAATCTGTGGCTTCTGCTCTGTAACTTGTTCACAGACTGATATTTGGCAATTCAGTTCCAAAAGCAAGAAATGAACTGAGAGGCTTGTGACAGCTCCTCATTCATTTTAATTCCTTAGTTAAACATGCATATCTTGAATTACAGGTAGCCTTATTTAGGCTTTTTCATTTCACTTGATTTAACTGTCTAGTTAAAACAGGTATTTTACTGGCTGTGCTAAGATTTCTAATTATGGTGCTACATTTTAGTAGCTTTATAGCATGTTTTAATGCAAGGCTGAACCACACTAATCCATGCTTATTCTGGAACAAAATAGAAGCTGCAAATGCTTTGCTAAAAAGCCATGCTACAGGTGAATTGCTGGTTGGGGGTGAGGAAGGAAAAATTGGGGTTTTGCATCATTTGTGCCTCAAGCACAACATAAACCAGAGGCCCAGTGTAAATGAGGCTGGCGTTGATTGAGAATTGAGTGACTAACACTGCTGAAGCCTATAAGTAGGGAACTACTGAATTTGCAATTGCGTAATTTAAGTGGAAAACATGAATTCAGGCGGGCTCTGTGGTTTTTGCAGGCTTGCTGTGGAAAAAAACCAAATCAACACCCCCCACCGACCCAAAATAAACCTGGCAAGCAGAGAAAAGGGTAGGAAGCCCTGCAGCCAGGTTGGGGTGCAGGCAGGGCTGCTTGCAGCAGGAGGTGTGGAGGCTGCAGGCAGCTATGGCCTGCAGCCTCCATGCCTTCTGCTGAGAGCAGTCCTGTCCTCATCCCAGCTCCACTTTCCCCCTACCATGCTCCAAGACTACATGGCTTCTTGCCCTTTTCTTTGCTTGCTGATAAGTTTTGGGTGGTGGTTCTTTTTGGGTTTTTTTAGTGAGCCTGCCAAAATCACAGAGCCTGCCACTTGGGAATGGCCTGAAAACACAGCTTAAGTACCCTGATTAAGCCTGGGGAAGCCATTAATCCATGTTTAAAATACATGGATTAATAGCGTCCGTGGGCTTAATCAGAGTAATTAAGCTGTGGTTTCAGGCCATGTGGCAGTCAGAGGCATAGGGTGACCCTGCCACACTCAGCCTGCAGAAATGGTGGTCGGCCCCAGTATCTATCTGAAATCGGCTGGCTGTCTCACTGGAGTTTGGTAGACCCCTACCTATAAGTCACTAAAGGCTTATTGAGCCAAAAGATGCCATCACAGTAGTAATGCCTGTTTTAAATAGAAAAGATTTAGTTTAGAAGGGGTTTTTTTTTCTTTTGTGGTTTTCTTTATTTTAAATCATAAACTCCCACTATTTTCATTTCACAGCAAGGCTCAATGCATCTTTAAAGCTTTGTCTGGCTCCTCCCAAGCTCTTCACAAGTCTGGTTTTCAGGAGTGCTAAACAGCCACCAGCTTAGTGGGTGTTGTTGTTAAGACCTCCAAGTGCTCAGCATCTCTGAGAAGCAGACTGTAAACATTATAGCGACTGATTCTGGAGCCTGCTGTACATCTGCAGCTCCAAGTTGGCAACCGGAACTGTAATAATCAGATCCAGAGTGATTTGGTGGATCAACTATTAAAACAGCAGGGCCACTAGCCATTAACATGATCACTTTGTTTAGGTCTTATGCCACAACTGGGTAAATGGGGCTGTCTCATCATGATGGAACCCCTGAGTCGCAAAAACCTGGCATTGTTAGCTCCTTGCAGGTCCCCTCCCCTTCCCCTGACTCACTGGAGAAGTCCTCACGTTGTGCTGGCAGTGGAAACAGGCACAGGCAAGATTTGGGTCCATATTTTTATAAGAGGAGGTGGTAGTTGCAGAAAACCCATTTATTTACTTCTAATTTGGAACGAGGAATGTACTCGGGGATTCTGGCTTTCAGCTTGAACCAAAACCAACTGCGGAAATGTTTCCTGTTTTTAAAGACTAACTACTGGAAAAAAAACCTAGAATATAGCAAGGTCCCTAGGGAGGCTCTCAACCAAACTAACATCTGTTCTACATTCCAGGCTCTCTCTCTTTCTGCACAGGCTTTCCTCTGCCATTGCTTGTAGCATGCTAAGCAGCTCTCACTGTGGTAGTTGCAGCACTGTAGGAACAGAGTGTTTGTTAGCAGTAAAAATCTGTTCCTTTCACTTCAGGTAGTTACACCATTGGTACTTAGCCTCTGCTTGAACCGGTGTCAGAACAATTCATTCAGACCTTCAAAAAAGGACTTTCCATGGTACATAAAAGCACAAAGGTGGACTGAAACTAGAATCCAGACCCCCTAAGTACAGTTGCATTAGTTAATCCTTTTCGGTTCCAAAAACAAAAAAGGGACTGTGTTGCCCAATGGTGAAAGGGAGGGGGAGGAGGACAGTGGAGGGCCTGCCTAGTACTCTACTGCACATGATAGCATTAACTTACATCTGTATTCAGTGCTACCAGTGATGCAGGTGGCAGACTGATTAGTAGCATTTCCTGCTGCGTTGTACTAGTATGGATTACCACACAGGGCATGAGGCAAAGCTGAATCAGGACTAAAATATCTGACACTTGCCACCTCTGGCATCTGGAAGTTCTGGAGCAGGGGAATAGAGAGATGTAAAGTATTTCTTTTTTTGGAGCAGGCATCAAAACTATTTAATAGCATTGTTGAAACACCCCCTTGACCTACAGGAGGAGGGGCCCTTTATACTTGCAGTGGGGTTTATCCTGACTGATGCTCCTGTGTGCTGCAGTTAGGGGGCAATATCCCAATATTTTAAACCAAGCACAGATAATCTCTTTGCTTCATAGCTAAGGAGGAGCCATTCTTTCCTGACACTTACTTGCATGGAGCCATGTTGTTACCAAAATGCCTTTTCCCCTACCCCACTACATGCATGTTTCTGTTTGCTGTACAATATTTCCATAGCTTTAGTTTAGTTTAAACTTAAATCAGGTGACTTGCCAATATATTAGATCACATGTATTTTTGACAGTTAAAACTTCTGTTCTGTTATAAACACACTGGTAACACTTCCAGACCTCCTTAATTCCCTTTTTCTTTATGTGATGTTTATAGCAACCTTGCTGAATGCTGGGACCACTGCAACAGTGGCCCTGCTGCGAGATGGTATTGAACTGGTTGTGGCCAGTGTTGGAGACAGTCGGGCACTCTTGTGTCGAAAGGGAAAGGCTGTGAAGCTCACCATTGACCATACTCCGGAAAGGAAGGATGAGAAGGAAAGGTATATCTTAGTTTCATAGTTTCTAGGGTCGGAAGGGACCTGAGCAGATCATCTAGTCCGACCCCCTGCCATGGCAGGAAAGAGTACCGGGGTCAAACGACCCCAGTAAGGTGGTCATCCAACCTCCTCTTAAAAACCCCCAGGGTGGGAGCCTGCACCACCTCACTTGGAAGCTGGTTCCAGACCCTAGCCGCCCTGACCGTGAAGTAGCGCCTCCTGATGTCCAACTTAAACCTTCCCTCCGCCAGCTTGTGACCATTGTTCCTGGTCACTCCTTGCGGCGCTCGGGGGAACAGGGACTCCCCCAGCGCCTGCTGATCCCCCCTAACCAGTTTATAACAGGCCACAAGATCCCCCCTCAGCCTTCTCTTTTGAAGGCTGAACAGGTTCAGGTCCCGCAACCTTTCCTCATAGGACCTACCCTGCTGTCCCTTGATCATACGAGTGGCCCTCCTCTGGACCCTCTCCATGCTGTCCACATCCCTCTTAAAGTGCGGCGCCCAGAACTGGACGCAGTACTCCAGCTGCGGCCTGACCAGTGCCGCATAGAGGGGGAGGATCACCTCCTTGGACCTGCTCGAGATGCATCTGTGGATGCACGACAAGGTGCAGTTGGCCTTCCTAGCCGCCTCCCCACATTGCCGACTCATGTTCATCTTGGAGTCAATAATGACTCCCAGATCCTTTTCCACCTCCGTGCTGACAAGAGGGGAGTTCCCCAGCCTGTATGTATGGTGCCGATTGTTCCTCCCCAGGTGCATCACCTTACACTTGTCTGTGTTAAACCTATTCCTATTCTCCTCTGCCCATCCTTGTAACCTGTCTAGGTCCAACTGTAGCCTGTTGCTCCCCTCAATTGTGCCCACATCCCCCCCACATCTTGTGGGGGGGGATGTGGGGGGATGTTAGTTGTGCTACTAACTTTGTGGGGCAGCCCAGGTCAAACTCTGTTTACACTGTCCTGCAGCTATGGTAGAGTCAATGGAATGAGCATGAACGGCGTGTGCTGCCAGCAGCTGGTGGGGCACAGCTGTGCTGGTGGTGGTGAGTAGGGAGCTCCTGCAGATGCTGCTGGCACTGTCAGTGGGGGCTGGGTAGGGGGGTGGCAGTGACCACCCACAGGCACCGGTGGCAGCCAGGGGTGATCATGGACTGCCCACAGATACCGTGCTGGCGGTGGGGTGGTGAGCGGCAACTGCCCACAGGTGCTGCCGACAGTGTCAGCGGTGCCTTTTTGCAGGGGGTGCACATACACCTTCGTGCACCCCCTACGCGTCACCTCTGGGAATGAGGTCAGTTCACAGGGGTTGAGGGTCTGGGTTATATCACTACACAGCTTGAAAGCCTGCCTGAACACAAGCCGTATTACGGTCTTGAGGTGGGAATGTACTCCCCTATATAGAGACTCAAGCAGTTGGGGAGAAAATGCACACCTGAAGGCCTTAATGGTTTGAATCTGGTTCATACTGACCTTTCCCTCTCTTGTGTTTTGGACAGGATAAAGAAATGTGGTGGCTTCATAGCCTGGAATAGTTTGGGACAACCTCACGTGAATGGGAGGCTTGCAATGACACGTAGTATAGGGGACCTGGATCTGAAGAGCAGTGGAGTGATAGCACAGCCAGAAACTAAGAGGATTCAGGTAAAAGCTGTGGTTAACAGGGAAATTAACAATACGGTTAATGGGAAACCTGAGTGTTAGACCCTGACTCCATGCAGCGCTTAACAACTAGGGAGACGACAATCCAATTGCCCATGGATCCCGTTACTCATTAGCCAGAGCAAGCAGGGAGCAAACACCAGCACACATTGCTCGCAACAGCTTTATTCAGAATGGAGACAGCTTTGGACTAGCTCCCAAAAAACCAACAAACCAGGGAGCCACACTGAACAATATTTTTTTCTCCACATTTATACACTTTGGTTTATGCTCATTAACATTTATTCTACCCTGTCCCTCCTTCTGTTCCACCCGTTTCTCCTCCCATTGCAAGCTCCGCCTCTGTTTACTGTTTGCTTCATTAGCATGGAATTACCTATGTGTTTTACTCATTTACCTGCCTCTGCTATGAGTGCATGTCTAAGACCTTGACTTCTCTTCTTCAGTCAATGGGTGGACTTTGACCAAAACCTGGAGGCTTCTTCACTAATCACCATTCACCTTTTCACATATGTTCATCTTGGTTATGTGTTATCTTCTACATTCCAATCTGTTTTTCTGTCTCAGGTTGTACCATCTTCCACATTCTTAAAATGTTACCTCATTCACAGCACACAGATTCACTTGCTGCGTTTTCCTCAGAAAATGGTTGATACAGTTAAGATGGTTACTTGGCATAAGCAAATGGTTGGCTGAGCTATCATTCTGCCTTGTGGTCAGCAGCTCTGCTAGGCTACAGGTCATGCCTTTATTCAGCTGCAAATCCAGTGCTCCCCAAGATCCAAATATTGTCACCCTAACACTGAGCAGTAGGATCATGTGATGAACACCCTTGGAATCCAGAAGTCAAGTTTATATCTCGTTGATGAGAGTGTAAATTGGGAGTAATTCCCTGGAAGTCATTCCAGACTGACTAGTGTGACAGAATGTAGTCTGGCACCAATAATAAATGCTGACATGGAGGAGTGCTTATCTTAAATAGCATGACTTAATGTGAGGAGCAAAATAAAACTTGACAAGCACTGCTTAAATGTAATGAGGTTTTATTTTGGGGAAAGGGGAATGGGATGGGGTGTAGAGTTCACTAGATTCTCTGCAGTTCAAGTTGAAACTAATTACATATTGAAGAAAAAGCATCTGAACAGGGGGAATTAATATGCTAATTTGTACCACTCAGTCCTTAGTTTAAATCACATAGAAAAGCAGCAAATATATGCATGTACATGTAAGCATGAGTGTAAGAGAGTGCATTTTATTAGGGCTTCATGATGGTTCAACGTATGAAGAAAACTTGTTAAATTCTCAAAAATAAACAGTTTTCCTGCCCTGCCATTTTTCCATTGCCACCTAACTAATCTTCCCACAAGATGGTGAGAGAGCCAGGAGATGAGGAAGGAGACATTTGAGGTAGATCTACTTAGGAGTCAGGAGGGCAGGAGCTAGAAGACACTTCTCTGTTCGGTAGGAGATCCAAGAAAGTGAACAGAGGTTTTCATAAAGATCCTATCAGGTCTTAAAACCTACAATAACTTGAGAATTTTTTTGTTTACTGGGTAATATTAATAGGCTCGGCTTTTTGGTCTGTTTATGTAGCTTGGGTCAAGAGTTACTACTGTGAACTGGAGCACCTTCAAGTTTATTTACCTTATGTTTTGATTATCACCATATCGAATCATTAGTGTGTTGGTGCATTAACCATAGTGCTATAGTTTGGGTTCTTCTAGGTGATGGCCATGCAGAAGTGGAAGAGGATACAACACAAGATCTATTGTAATAAGATAAAACGTAGCACTGTTCTGCCTTGCAAAGATTGATTTTTATGATGTGTGTTGTGTCCCCAATTCTAGTTGCATCATGCAGGTGATAGCTTTCTGGTCCTTACTACAGATGGCATTAACTTCACGGTGAACAGTCAAGAGATATGTGACTTGATTAACCAGTGCCATGATCCTGCTGAAGCAGCCCTTGTTGTTACTGAGCAGGTAACGTAACATAGCTTTGGCCACACCAGTGCCTTGTTGATGAGGCAGGGTCATAATGCCATTTAGCAATGTGGAATTACTGAACATGCTTAGGCAGATTAGGTAGTTGGTGCAAATTGAGGTGGGATTAAGTGTTCAAGAGCCTTGCCTTGTTCTGTGGTTTTGTTTTTACTCTTAAGTACAGAATGAAAAGGGCCATGGTTCAGTTGAGCATTGGGTTTTTACATATCTGGGTGGAGTTCTTGGGAGAACTCCCTCAGTGAATTTGCTCTGCCTGAGACTAGAGCGAGAGGTGCAGGACATAAGGCAACTTTTGCTTTCCTTTACAAAAGTGCTTTTTGATGTGGCAGAGGAATAGAGCTTTGGAAGCGTCAGGTGCTGAAAATGGTTCATTTCTAACTTCAGGCAATACAGTATGGGACTGAAGATAACAGCACCTCTGTCATCGTGCCATTTGGAGCCTGGGGGAAGTACAAAAACACTGACGTCAGCTTCTCCTTCAGCCGTAGCTTTGCCTCGAGTGGGAGGTGGGCATGAGAACCCACTGAAGTTATTCTTTTCCATGCAATGGCTTGTATGCAGCAAGATACAGGAGAACACATCCATTTCTATGTTGACTGTGTCTTGTCCACCTCTTTCCCAGAATTGTACACAACATGAGACTTACTGCTTCCAGGTTAGGGAACAAGCCCTTGTCACTTACATTTTCCCACTTTTTATTTATTTTGGCCAGAGTTCAGGCAGCTGTTTGTGTTTCTCCTCCTAGGAGACGTGTAGCTTGTGTCTCCCTGTTCACAAATGACTAGATGCTGGACTTTCACACGTTAAATGCTTCCTGCCTAATGTGTGTTTTGTACTGACTGCTGTATTTAGTGTCCCTGGTTATTTAGCAGCTGTAAAGGACTGGTATGATGTATTCTGAGCCATGTGCTCTTCACTTTGTGAGACAGGTGAGCAGTGCACAACAATTATGAGAAGACAAGTCTTCCACTGGTATAGAGGCACCAAAAGTTCCTCTGCGCTTCAGGAGAAGCATGTGAAAAATAGTGGCGTAGCTGTGAGAAAAGTGTCAGGAAGCAGCTCTTCTGTGCCAATATGAGCCAAACAGTAGAATAAGTTTTTTCCCAAAGTCCACATAAATGAATTCTGGTCTGTAGAAAACTACCCCTTGACTTCCATGCACTGTGACCTTTTGAGTGTAAATGCATGTGCAGGAAAGGAGCCAGTGATGACATGGCAACTTAGGTGTAACATGGGACAGACCTAATGTCTGTGCCACCGGTACCATCCTCTCTTTGGCCAGTGTGTGATTTGAAGACCATATTACACCCCTGTACACAGTGGCATTGAAAGGAATAGGTGGCAGATCTGTAGGGGAGCAAAAACAATGTTTTTTCAAACCCAGAGACAGGGTAAGAGTGGATTCCTTTTTCCTAAAGGAAGTAATTTCAGTCTATCTCATTTTCTAATAGAAAGCAGGGTGGGGAGATTTTTCACTTTTCTGAAAGACAATAAAGGTATGGGGGCTTTTCAGCTGTCTGGGATGGGATCTAGTAAGTTAATCCTTTCTTCTTTGCCAGCTGACTGGTTACTAGATGCTTTTAGATGCATAAAGTAGACTTTCCCCTTTTCAGTTTTTTTTGACTCTCTGAATTTGCTCAGGGCCTTGTCACACGTTCACTTGCAACAGTTGGAAATCATTAGTGACCTATTAAAGTTAGTACCTGTTAAGAGCAAACCTTCACTGAAAGGGAACAACTTGGCAATGCTGTGAGAGCACTTAACACATGTTAAAAACTGCTTGTGTTTTAACTGTACTTAGTAAGTATTAAGTTGAACATGTGACATCACCCTCAGATTCCCAAACTGAAGTGTAACTGTGGGAAGGGGGGCACGTAGGGGTATGTCTTTAAGCAAAGAGTGCCCCTTTTTCTTATCCCTGTTTTTAAGGTGGAAGAAGAAACTATGGGAGTCTGTGGTAGATTAGGCACAAAGGGCCAAATCTGCAGCTGGCTCAAACTTTCAGAACTCCCATTGACTTCAGTGAAACTGCACTCATTTACACCAGCTGAAGATCTGGGTTAAAGTGCCCTGTTCTGGTCTCAGGTTCACTGATACGCACCCCTCCCCCTTCCCACCACTGTAAAAACAGTGTAATTAAAGGCAGGCAGGGAAAAACTGGCATCTTCTCAATAGTTTTGCTGTGATATTTTTCATGCTATTAAATTGTTTCTGGCAAGAAAGGTTCTAAAATTGAACTGTCACCTTATACTAAGGGAGAGCATTGCTGAGTTGCCCGGTGAAACACTTACTACAATGTGAACTGTGGGCCTCTGTCACTTTTAATCTTTCCCATGCCACACCTGATCTCACCATTCCAGATGTCTGAAGGCCTATGACCATTCTCTGGACAGGCATACTTAGTATTGCTCTGAAAGCATCTACAATTTTGCATAGGGAGAGTGCCCTGGTCTTGTCTCATTACTCAATGTATTATATGGTGTACATAATATGTATATTGGTTTTATAAGTGTGTGAAACAATATTTGTAAATATCCAGTGCTATTGCCTAAGTCTATGTCACAGGTGTAGTACAATTATAAGCCCTCTGTTTCATATATTCAAAAGATTTGCAGTTAATCTTAATCCAAAGGAAAATGTTTGGTTTTCCAAAGTTGTGAGCCCAGTTTTGCTTCCCTGAAGCAGAAGAGACATTTTCAGTGTCTATCAGTAGAGTAGAAGCAGGGGCTCATTTGGAACAAGTGTCTCTCTGGGTTAACTGTATTTGTAGTACTGTTGGGAGAACTTGCCTTATTTTGAGCCCTGAGGGTGACATCCTGACACTATTGAAGTCAGTGGAAATGTTGCCATTGATTTCAGCAAGGTCAGAATTTCATCCCTGGTCTTTATTAGCACTTCTAGAAAATGGATACACTAAAATGCATAGGCTGAGAGTGAGGCTTTAGAAATGGCATGTGTGTATGAGAGAGAGACTACTAACTGTTGAGCCCTACTAAAGATGTTTAATATATGTTATGGATAGATAATATGCATGTAGAGAGCATCTTCATGTGTATGCCACTATCCTAAATGCACAGCATATATTGATTACTGCCTTGTGAATGTGCTGATGTAGTGAGGAAGGGACTAAATGCTACAGTGGGCAGTTCTGTTAGACTTGTTCCCCAAAGCAAATATGGCCTTGGTGAGACCCTGCTTAATCTCTAGTGAATATTTGACCACATGCCAAAACCCTCCTTGTACTGCGCAGTGGTTTTGGTATCAAGTGATAGACTCACACTAGCAGAAGTCTAGTGCAAAATTTGTGGACAAAGCGCATTGACACTTTCTCCTTCATTTTTATCCTCTGGCCCGTTAGCCATAGATCTGGTCTGAAGATATCACAAAGGCTTAGGAATTTAGTGGTGCACACCCATTTTATTTTTATATATTTAATTTTTTTGTAAGTGTTAAAGTTTGAATAGTATTAGACATTTTCCAGACTGAGCCCATCCTATTAAATCGCTGGTGGGTAGTGAGAAATTCTGCACTTCAAGTGCTGGAATAAAAAAGCATGGTAACTCAAAGAGTATCTTGGGGATAGGTTTAAGTTTGCCCTCTGGAATGCAAGTTCGTGATCTAATTGTGTTCCCTGCATTTTACTACATCTCTTTCCTGTGTCTTATCACTGAATATTGTAGAGAATTAGATATTTTTGCAGTTTTGTTGGTTGGTGCTCCTCTGAGAGCAATGATTTGCGGGGGTTTTTATGTTAGAAAGGAGATAGAAAAGAAGGGACATGATGAAACTGCAGAACAGTACGAGTTGAAGATAAAGGGCTCCCATTAACCATTTCTTATGAGCAACAAAGGGATATTTAATACTATAGAAGGGCAGCAAATTTAAGACTAATAGAAGGAATTATTTGTTAAAACAAATACACAGTTTGTCTGTGGAACTCCTTAGATGTATTTGAAGACAAAGGCTTAGTAGGATTTCAAAAGGGTTAGGCACATTATAGATAGAAATTTTACAGTTGTATCACCTGGGGGTGTATTTATACAATATATACAGGTCTACATATGTATAATAAGGAATATCAGCACTCAAGACTTTGAAGCACAAGTCATTTGCTGAGTGACAGGTGTTAGGAAGAAACTTTTCCTGTGGACAGGTAATTGCATAACTGCCCATCATGGAGTTTTTGCCACAGTCTTCTGAAGCATAGAGTTACTGTTGGTACAAAATACTGGACTGAAATGTCCTATGGGTCTGAATTGGGCAATTACTACGTCCTCATTTAAGAACAGAGTTCTGGAGATACCATGCTACATCGTAGCCTTCCTTCATGCACCTAATGTAAGCAGTTTACTCGAGTCAGACCACAGCTTACAAAGCACTTGATTATAAGTGCATGGCATTTTTTTTGTGGTCACTCATCTCGCATCCCGCAGCTGAGGTATGAGAGGCTGAGTTCTGGATAGGGACCTGCATGGGTTCCCTATCAATTGCAGTCTCTGAATATGGAGGGGATGTATCTTTCTAAACCATATGCTATAACTCCAACAAATTGTGGGCTTAACATGAACATTATCAGGTAAGGTTCTGGGGCCTGCACTATGGAAGAAGCCAAGATGGATTATCACAACAGCCTCTTCCGGCCTGAAAAAAATCTATGGGTGTGTGAACAGGCATGCATAATCTGACTGATAACGGTAGAGCAAAACAAGTAACTATAAAAAAAGAAACTACTGCTTATTACATTTTTGGAGTAAATAAACAATGGGAAGAAAGCCTGGTCCTACTGAAGAACTCCCACATATTTTATTGGGAGTCAGGATAATCTTTGTGTTCCTAGATGGGAGTGCTTTTAAAGGCTTTTGAACATTTCCAGTTAATAGAGAACCAGCAAACAATTGATAGCAACAAAATGGAATCACCAAAATAATTTTCTTTTTATAAACTCACTTTGGTACTCTTAGAGTGATAGGTCATTTTTCCAACTAGGTGAATGTACTGTAATATAGACAACTTCTGGTGTTCCTTGGGTCTGAAGCTGCTGTACCTCAAAACTGAGGTAGCTCTCAAGCTGTCCTCTTTTATCCAGTGTATTCAGTGCTTACAGTTTTGCATGTCATAAGCTTATACATAACAGAAGTGCAATTGTGTATATTTGTTACATGGTTTGCCTTAGGACTTATGGTTTAATGTTTCATATTTGGTGCAGTCAGTGTCCACAGTTCATTTACTACTTGATTTGAAATGAGTGTACTGGTTTTTTTTTTAATGTTTGTCTTTATTGAAGTACCTATACAATGTGAGCAGGCTAAAGACTGTACTGGAATGCTTAAAAGATCTTTTAATAAAGTTTTAGCTTCAATAGCTGTCTGGGTTTGTTTGTTTCCCCCCCTTCTAATAGCTCACATGAACCAGTGGAATTATTCACAGCTTAACCAGTTTTATGACCCTAATGTCAGTCACCCAGCAGTTTTCAGTGCATGGGCTTTTCCATGTGTAGACTAATTCTGCAGTGGATAGTGCAGAGGTGGGTGTTTGTACCCACCCACCACTGCACACAAGTCATTGAGTGCAGCAGCCTGCTAAATTGCTCTCCATTGCTTAATTGGGGCCATATTCTGGTGCTTGGATGGTTTATATGAATTTCTCAGTCTGTTACTCATTTTAGTATCGTCTTATTTTACATTTTGATGTCTTGCAAAAGCAGTAAATGTGGAAGGGAGAGGTAAAGGAAAACTAAAAATTCCTTCTTTTTCCTGCAAGAATTTCTGCGTTGAAAAGAAACTGATGTCATCTGGAGATCAGAAGCAGCCTGGAGTACTTATAAGTGTTTGGTTTCAAACACTTGTTTAGATTCAAAGCTTTCTAGCAATAAAATATATTACAGTTCAGTACTGTAATTCCTATGCAGAGTTCAATATCTGCTGCCTTTATAATTTTTGTTTAATTATGGCTTGCAGAGACTCATCTGCGTGGACTGAAGCCTCTTTTCTCCAACCCCCCAAGGAGGAAAAGCCTTAAGTTCTGTGGAGCTCTGACAGTTTATTCCAATTGTGCAAATGCCCCTCCATGTCAAGCGCAACCTCAGTTTAATCTTACCACTAGTTTATTACTAGCTTAACTTTAAACAGCTGAACTGCTCAGGAACTGGTGGTCCTTAACTATTATGTGCTGAGCGCGCCAAATAGTATCATCTCCAATCAGTTTGGTGCATTCTTCAGACCAGGCTAGATTCTTCTTCACTGGCCTCCACTTTTCTGCACTTTCACAGTAGTTAGGAAATGGCTGCTAAATTATTCCATAATCAGAGCACTTGTTGTTTAATGAATATCACCCTGACCCACTGGTCTCTTTATGCTCCCAGGAAGAAAAGAGAGTGGCTTCATTCCAACACCAATGAGTTATTTCCCTAGTTAGTTCAATTGCTTGCATGAGTCTTGATAAAAGTTCATTACAAGGATTTCGGGATAGAAGCCAAGGTAAAAAATTCCTGGCTCTAATGTTGCATACAAGAAGTTGTGTCCCTTATAAGGGATTGTATCCTTTTCCAAACAGCCTGTGTAACAGGGCTACCCTGCACCACAGTGGAAAGAGACCCTCATCTTGCGTGTAGGGCAGTATGCCAAAGGTTCTGCTGGGCAGGTGGTACATGGCACTGGCTAAAAATAAAGTTCCTCACTGCAACTGAACAGAAGCACACAGATATAGAAGTGCAAATATGGACATTTATTGCCATGCCATAACATATTTACAAATTTAGAAGCAACACATTCGTGAGAACACCTGCCACTCTCTTGATCTTATTTTGTGGTGATGGGCTGAGGAAAGGGTTCACAGTCTTTCAGCTTTCTGAACCTTTCTGTAGCTTCCCCTAAAAAAGCAGTTATTCCTTGGGAGTGTTAGCATGGTGCTTCCTTTGGGGAAACACATTTAAGAGGAATTATCTCTACCCCCTTGCATTAAAATGTTGTTCCTGAGATGGTGGATCATGTGCAATTCATGTTACAGAATTTTCTGCACCAAAAGTTCAGACTCATTAAAGCACTCCTTGGTGTACATCTATGCACGCACCCTGGTCAGGAACAAACTGAGTCTGACAGCAGCCCAGTCCAGGGCTGCTCCTGCCAGGCTCTGCCCCTCTGCAGCAGCCCAGGGGAGCTCCAGGCTCCCCAGGTCCCGACCCCAGGCTGGTAAGGGGCATAGGGGATAAGCCCTGAGCTCTAGAGCAGGGGTGGGCAAAATGCGGCCTGGGGGCCGGATGTGGCCCACTAGGCCATTCTATCTGGCCCATGGAGCCCCTAAAAAATTTAGAAAATTAATATTTATCTGCCCCTGGCTGCCTATTGTGTGGCCCTTGATGACTTGCCAAAACTCAGGCCTCCACTCAAAATAATTGCTCGCCCCTACTTTAGAGGGTCAGGGGAAGCTGTCCTAGACAGGTCCTGATCTTCATATGCCTGGCAGGCAGCTGCCTGGCAGGCAGCTGCCTGGCAGCTTGGACAGCTCTGTCAGCCATGTGGAGATTGGGACAAGTCCTGATTTGGCCTGATTCAACCCTGCCCTCTGTGGCCCCCTGCTCCCTAGGCTGACTGGGATCAATTTTTTCCTGGTTGGTATCTACATGTGCAGTATGGCACATTAGTTAATGAGCCATTTTTCCACTAATTGTATCTACAATTAGTAGATACATGTAAATATGATTTTCTAGTAATTGTATCTACAGGTACAGTACAATCACAACTTATGCAGGGGTTATGTTCTGAAGTCAGCACGTATAGTTGAAATTGCGTATAGCTGAAATTGCCAGACTCGGCGCCAAGCAGCCGCTGCCACCGCCGGGCCAGACAAGGCAGCCAGCTGAGCATAAGCCCCCAGCCATGCCGGTGTGTGCAGGCGCGTGCAGGCAATACCACGTGGCGCTGCACGGCGCCACACTACGTGCCATGCCCTGGCCAGCACCTGGCGGCCAGCCCCAGCATCTGAGCGCGTAAAGCTGAATTCGCATAAGTTAAATACGCATAAGTTGCGCCTGTACTGTACTAAGAGACAGCACATTAGACAAATATACTGTGCAGTAAGTGCTGTGCATGTGTGGATAGGGACACTTTACTGTCCATTAGATTAGTTTACTGTGCAGTAAAGCATCTCATGTAGATGCACATAGAAAAAAGTGACAGGCTGGAAAATGTTTTCTAAAGTCCCCCTGTTGCACACTGAGGGCCTAAGGCCTCTGACTAGCCCTGTTTTCACCCCTTCTTTTTCCTTAGATGTGGCAGTAGCCAATAGCTTGGCATTTAGCTTTCCTCGCTGTGGTAGTAGCCAATAGCTTTCCTAGACATGGCAAAAACAACAGCTTGGTTTTTTTCTCTGACCAACAGCCTCATAAATCCCATACTACAGGCATCACCAGGAGCACTGTTTTGGCAGGCTGTGTTCACCCCTTTGCTCCCACCCAAACCAGTGGCTGTTTTAACATTCAGGGATACCTGAACTGATCCTGGTTCTTCCTTGTGCAATATGTTTGTGGGCTAGAATTCTCCCAGACTTAAACTCCATGCAACCTCACTAACTTCATGGAGTACATATGGGCCAAGTGAGCAGTAATCCTGTTCCTACACTCCAAATGATTTGCAAGGCCATTAGTTCTTGGAGAACAGGAGAACAGCCACTCTCTGTCCTCATTATCTGAGCTCCCTCACATCCTCCATTTTACTTAGATTGGGCATATTTACACATGCATTTACTCTGGGCTAAGCTTACTTTGGTGTAAACTACTCAGAAGTAAGCACTTTCAGACAGGTGTCTACACATACGAGGATTAGGAAGAAGATTTGCTGCTCTTTGCACCAAGTTTCCTGCAGTCCTGCAATGGACCTATGCTGCCACTGCGGGGGAGCTTGGAGGGAGCACAGGGCCAGGAGACAGCTTTTGCGGCAGGGATAATATTCTGCTGCTGGGATGAGGACAATGTTCCCTGCCCAGCTATGTGATTACAGAGCTGGGGGTGGGGAACAGGCTGGGGGACTTGTTTCCCACCCAGCTCTGTGATTGCGGAGCTGAGTGGGGAACAAGTTTCCCGGTCTGTTCCCCGCCGCCAGCTCCGTGCTTGTAAAAGGTGGATAGGGAAAAGGGTCCCCTGCACCTGGCAGCAGAGAGCTCCCAGCACCAGCTCTGCAACCATGGGGCCAATGTTGGGAGATCCTTATCTTGCAGCCAGAGCTCCGTGGTCATGGGGCTTGCTCTGGGAGACCCTTATCTCCCAGCCTGAGCTCCACAGTCATGCA